ACGATCCGGACGGAGTCCCGGATGATCCGGCTGGGCCCGGATGATCCGGACGGCGGTCCGGATGTCTGGCCTAGCTCCAGCAGCCGCTCCGTCTTCTTCTTCCTTCTCCTCTTCCATGCTTGGCCTTGATCCTTGGATTCTCCATGGTCATCTTGGTTGTACCTGAGTGTATGCAAGGTCCATGCATGAGGTAGTAGCCGTGTCTCATATGCGGAAAGTGACGGTTCGAAGAGGAGTGAGTTCACCTTGTGTCGAATGGCGCATAGTCGAGGTCTCATCTTATGTATCCTTGGGGCTTGGAGAGTAGTCGGAGTGTACGTGGGGATGAACGTGGGATGCTCCGCATCACAAAGCCTCCTGAACACTGGAGATCGTTGAAGCACGTTGATATCGTTGTGAGAACCGGGCATTCCAAAGAAAGCATGCCAAATCCATAAGTCATGTGATACCACCGCTTGTAGTATGATGGTGGCCTCTCTGGTGTGACCTTGATACATTCCCCGCAGACCTTTGGGGCAGTTTTTCCATTGCCAATGCATACAATCAATTGATCCGAGCATTCCTGGAAACCCCCTTGCCTCTCCAATAGCCAACAACTTCTCACTGTCCTACGCATTTGGTTCTCTAAGATACTTCGGTCCAAACACCTCAACCATAGCGCGAGCAAATTTCACAGTAGTCTTGAGGCACGTGCTCTCCCCCATCCTGACCATCTCACCAACGACTTCTACAGTAGTACCAAGTGCAAGCATCCTCAGAGCAGCCGTGCACTTTTGCTTGGCCGAGAAAGAGAGTTGGCTGCAGCAATCCCTTCTCAGATTGAAGTAGTCGTCGTGTGCCTCCACTCCCTCCACAATGCGCAAAAATAATGATTTTCGCATGCGAAAACGGCGACGAAACCATGGATCTTCCGAAAAAGCAGGTGTGGGAGCAAAGTAGTCATTGTGCAATAGCTTTGCTCCAGACACTCTGTCCCGGTTGATCACTCTTCTTCCTTTGATTGAGCCCTTAAAGTTGAGAATATGCTCCACTTGTCGGTCCATTTCCTCTTGCATGCTCATGAGCATGATCATGTCCACTTCTTCGTCCTTATTCGACGAATCGAAGAACTCATCTTGAATCATTTGGTCAAGCTCCGTCGGGCCATACTCCTCGTCCGACGAAGCATTGGAATCCATAATGTACCTAACAAAACCACAATAATTCCGGTCGGTCAATGTGTCGAACACATCAAGTGCAAGGCGGAGCCGGAGAGTTGCCGGACATACCATGGTGGCGTCCGGGCCGGCGACAACGTCCCTCGCGGCGAGGACTGGAGCGCTCTTCCGGAGTTGGCGGCGGAGAGCCTGGGAAAGGCTGCGGAGCGGGCGTGGCGGCGGAGCTGCGAGCGAGACGGCGCAGAGGAGGAAGAACGAGGAGAGAGCAAATGGATCCGGTAACTCGGGAGGGAGGAGGGATTTGATGCAATTTAGGGTGGGATCGGGTTGTCGAATCCGACGTGACGGGCGTGCCCGGGCTCTCCATATCCGCCCCATATTTGAGCTGGATATGGGAGTGCGGGTCAGCCCGAACGTTTGAGGGCCGTTCGAGAGGTTCATCTGGGTCAAAAAATCATGATCGAGTCTGCCGAGCGTTTGAGACGGGTTGAGGGTTCCACCTGTTGGTGCACAGCGGAAGAACAGTCGTTAGTTTTCTCTGCAGTGACGAAGGAAACACCGAAACAGAACACAGAAATCCCAATCCCCGCCGCCAAAGGCTCCAACCACGATGGTGCCAGGAATGGCGCCCAAGCCGGCGGCGCCGATGCCCGCGCAGCCGAAGAAGCCTCAGCACATGCTCGTGCTCGGCACCGGCTTCGTCGGCCGCTACGTCTCGGAGCGCCTCCTGTCACAGGGATGGTTAGTCCGCCGTCGCTCTCAGCCCCCTCCTCGCTCCGTTCTACCGCTTCTCCTTCTCTTTGACCGGCGTCGGCACAAATTGAGACCACTCCGTCGCTGTAACTCCGGTTCCCCAACTCCCCTTATCGATGTCTCGAACTAGATTGGGTTCTGCCGCTGCTGTAGCCATCTCCTCCTCCCCCGAATTCGGTCCTTGATTTCTGTCTGGATGAACGCAGGCGGGTGTCCGGGACGTGCACCAGTGCCGCCAAGAAGACGGAGCTCGAGTTGCTGGGCATGACTGCTTCCGTCTTCGATGCCACAACAAGCAAGTACGGCTTATTTCCTCTGTTCTCGCCCTTCTTTCAAGCACCGTTCTCTGCCGCGGAGCACTTGCCAGATATAAATAATACATGGATAGTCTAGCTAAAAATGGTTGTAGGCTGAAAATCTTTGACCCACAAACGTTTCACTAGTGTTATTAGTTGAATTGCATCTGAAAAGGTGAATGAAGCTCTCGTTTGTTTTCTGTTGAACATAAAACTTTGCTGATGCAGGCCAAAATATTTGCTTTAAACTGCAGTGAAGTCAATCTTTGGAACTAATAGTACTACATTTATATACACAAATACTTCAGTCATGGCAGATTGTTTAATCATTAGGGAAAGAAGGCCACTCCAAATTTTTGTGCTAGACTCCAATATATTTTCTTGAAATTTTATTATGACGATATATGATCCTTATCTCTTGTTGTTCTACCTGTGTCCCCCTGGGCCCTCTTACTCCTGTGTGTGGGTGCCAGTGAATTTTGCTTTCTCATACATGAATCTTTATGTCTACGGGCAATGTCCTTTTCTGATTACTTTTGGCTGTCAATTCCAGCCTCACAGATCTTCATGCTTTGCAAGATGCAACCCATTTGCTCATCTCCATTCCTCCCATCCCTGGGGTGGGTGATCCTGTACGTTGCCAATTATCTGCTACTCAATTCAGTATGCTTCACTTGAATGCGATCCTGATTTGACTTCATGGTTATCCCTTATGCAGTTGCTTTCCTCACATGCTGACCTGCAAACAACACTGACTAGTGGTAATCTTCAATGGTTATGCTACCTATCTTCAACAAGTAAGTTCAAACAATGTGTGCACCTCTAATATGAAATAGTATGTTGGTTTGGGGTGAAATTGATTGACAGCATTTCGGCAGTTTCCATTTCACTAAATTATTTAACATGTGGTAGTCAAATGAACTGCATTTAAGTGCAATAGTTTTTCTTGAGGACCCTTACTTGGTTTACACACTGCATTCATGTCAATGCACTAGAATAGGAGAACATCTCTATTTCTTCACCCTTGTTAGGTACGTTAGCTCTTCCAGCTGGCTTAGATAACTGCCTTATAATTCTTATTATTTCCCAGGTGTGTATGGTGATTGTGGTGGTGCATGGGTTGATGAGGAGTAAGAAACTGAATGGTTTGTGTGTGTTTTTGCAATACATTTTTAAAAGTGCAGAAGAAACTGATGTATATGCAGTCATGTAGTGAATCCAAAGAGCGAGTCTTCCAAGTTAAGATATACCGCTGAACAAGGATGGTTGGATCTTGTCGACGAGCTGGATCTATCGGCTTATATACTTCATTTGGGTGGGATATATGGGCCTGGAAGAAGGTTGAGATATGCTAATACTTCAATCCATTTTACTATTTTGATTTCTTATCAAATAATTAGTCAACTCTAGAAATGCTTGACAATTGATATGCTGATTTAGACCAATGTATTTGCACCTATGAAATGAAAGCTTGTCAGCACTTTTTTCATGACTGCTTTGGATTTTATCATAGAAGCCATCAAACAATGTGATAGAGATGAATGGTTGGAAGATTTGTTCAAGGAGACTGTTTATACGTCCTGATACCGTGTCTCTGAAAGCGTCAGTATGACGACTATTCTTGTTTCGTATTTGTGATGATCGCCATTTGTTGTTGCAGTGCTTTGGACACCATAGCTAAGAGAAAATCTTCTTCGCGAAGACAGAAGTTGAGGGAGTCCAAACAGTACACGGCACGTATCCATGTGGCCGACATCTATCAGGCTATCCTGGCTAGCATGAGCATCAAATCTACAAGGTTTCTGTTTTCTCTTGCTTGCATAATTCCATGGTTCTTTGCAATTGTTGAGTCTTCACGCTATTTTCACAGACTTCATTACAGTTTACATATAGCATAGCTCAAATATGAGATTGCAACGCCAAAAGTCCTCTTCGTTTGTATTTCTCTCTTGCTTTGTTCTACAAAATAGCCATATCAGTGTGATCTTTAAACATCATCACACATACTCACCGTGTGTTCAACTTCATATTTCGGTCTTACCATACATGTTCTAGTCACGTTTTGTAAGCTTATGTTTTCAGTATAATCGAGAAAAATGACCGTGCATACGAAGACAGATAATTGATTTCCAACGTTTAACCATTTGAATGCCAGGAAGATATACAATGTGGTGGATGATGACCCTGCCCCGAGATCCGAGGTCTTTGCATTTGCTCAGAGCTTGATAGAGAAAAGATACCCTGATCTTGCAGCGGATTCTGCAGGATCAAACAGCCAGAACAGAATTATAGCTGCTGAAAAACGGGTATCTAATGGTCGGTTGAAACTGGAGCTGGGCGTTAGGCTTGCCCACCCATCTTATAGGTCAGGGCTGCAGAGTATTCTTGATTCCTGGCTCGAGGGAAATCAGTGATGTGTAGCCTGTGCAGCGAGTAGCATTTCTTTTAATCCTTGGTTTGGACACAATGTGAACCTGTACACGATACCGCACATTGTACCAGAAACTGAAGTAATTTACTATGATCCCAAGGAATATTTTGCCGAACGTAGTAGTGAAAACTAAAATAAATGCAGTTGCAAGATTAATGTGCATGTTCCATATTACCCATTCAGTAAGTACTAGATGTCCATTGAATCAGTAGATGCCGGAGTATGTTGGAGTACAAAGACGAAGCCTAAAGCAGGCAGCTGGCCAAATCTGAAACCAGAAGCCAGAGAGGGAGCAATTACTTTTAGGGAAAATGAAAATAACCTACAGCTAACTACTACTAGTATATTGGCCAACAGTACATTTTAGTGATGGATTTGTAGGTTGGCGAGGTCCCTTGCAGCGCGTCTGGCCTCGCGGCGCTCCCTCCGCATAAGGACCTCCTGGCGCCAGGCGTTAATGCAGGGCAGCGAGCAGTGTTGCTCGTAATGCCAGCCCGCCCAGTGGGCATGACACTGCGCGCACGTGCCCGGCGCCCTCCTCAGCACCGGCAGCAGCAGCAGCTCGTCCTCCTCCTCGCCGACCGGGTCGCCGAGGTAGCCCTCCACGCGGCGGAACCACGGCTCGAAGCCCGTGCACCGGACGCAGTGCGCGCCTCCATGCTCCTCGATACGGAGAACGACGCCGGCGAGGCACGTGCCGTTGCTGTGGTGCGGGCAGGCGGCGGCGCAGAAGATCTTCTTGCAGCCCGTGCAGTAGGAGTCTCTGGGGAGCGGCGTGTCGTAGTCCTCCGCGGCGATGGCGCGGACGACCTCGTCGGGCATCCACTGCGAGTCCCCGGGCTGGAACACCGGCCGGCCCGCGACGTCGACGGAGATGGCGGTGTGAAACGGCCCACGGTGGTGATGAGAGCCGCAGCAGTGGGAGCAGAAGGCGTGGAAGCAGTCCAGGCAGAAGCTGTCCCTCCGGCACGTCTGCGACAGTTCCTCGAACTCGAGCGGCGACGACATCGTGTACCTAACAGCGAGGCAGGGGGGACGCGCGATGTGGCGGGTATATGCAGAGACCAGGAGACGATGGCATATACTACAGGACACCAAAGCATATATATATATAGCTTATTTACGGGTCCGACTTCACCAAAGCATATATATTCCTAGCTAGGCTGCAACTATCTTTTTTGCTTTGTTAGAGCAACTCCAACGGACAGCACATCTGAACTGAACAACAGAGAGCGCCCCTGTTGAGAGTCGAGCGAGAGAAGCACGTCCCGCCCGATCCCCAATCTTCCCCGGCGGCGATGCCGGCTGGAGGAGAGAAGGGAGAGGAGCACGGAGGAGCTATGTATATATTAAGTCTAAGTTGAGTCTTACCCCTGTGGCGTCTGGCGCTATGCCGAGGTGGAGCGTACCGCCGCCGCGTTCGAGCAGCGGCCGGTGGTTAGCGGTGGCTGCACTCCTGGCTGCGCTGGTGTGCCAGTTGCTTGTCAGGAGTGGGTTGCCGGTGACTCCACGAATAAGCTCGTTTGGTCCGCTGATCTGGAGGAGGTCCTTATTTTCCTCTGCTTCCAAGGTTACCATGGTGGTGAAGGAGGAAGAGAGGAAAGATGGAGATCCAGTTCGGGTTCGAGCTCATCACCGACGGAGATCTTGGATGGCCTATGGCTCCCGCTGTTGCGGTCGATGCCGGCCGTCGCCGCCGAATCCTCTAACCGAATGGCGGTCTTTCTTCTTCCTCCCGGCCAAGAGCCAGATGGGAGGCAATGTAGCTTCATCCTGGAGTTCGTGGCGTGGTGCCATGGAGGGCTCGCCGCACCAAGTGGTGCCGTCCCCGGTGAAGACGAGTCAAGTTTCAGGCTGGAGTTGCCAGGTACCCGATTGCTTTTTTCATCAATTTTCTGGGGTCCTCTTTGTAATAGTCAGGGACCGGTTAGTGTTTTCCTTTTTCGTTCAGGGTCCTGATGTAAAATCGCTGTGTACTGCTCCTTTCTAATCAATGCAGCTTCGGGGTCCTTCCGGGCCCTTAGTTTGTTCAAAAAAAAGCAACTCCAACGGGCCAATCCAAACGGACGGCGCATTTGTCCGACTTTTGTCCGTTTGGGTCGGCCGCCCCCACCGGCGTCCGCCCAGTTTTGCATTTGGGTCGGCAGTGCGCCCAACGCGCCGATCCATTTCATGTCCGCATTCAACTATAAAAAAAGGCCCGCGGGCGATCATGCCGGCACCATGCCAGCGCCGGCATACAATGCCGGCTTCAGAAAATATCACCATAGGTTCATGCTGGCGCACTCGCCAGCCGGCCGGCACTCATGCCGGTACACAAAAAGGGTGGGGCTTGAGTTCGACCACGCCATCGCGGCTCCCGTGGTCATGCCGGCACACCTGCCGGCATACAAAAAAGATGGCGCTCGCCGCCATACATCACTCGTCGTCGAACTTGAGCATGTCGGCCTGCATCTTCTCGAACCATGGCCTCTTGCTTGGCGACACTGTAACGCCTCGGATACAACTTTCCATATTCGTAACTCCAACTCTTGCCTTTTCCGGAGATGCGATATGATATTTTCCTTCGTGGTTGGGTTATTGTCGTTTGTTTTGCATTTTGTTCATGCCATGCATCTCATCTTATAGCATCATGCGCATTGCATCTGCATGTTTTCATAAAACTCGTAGCCGTTCACAGTTGCCCTTTCTCTCTTTGCCTCCGTTGTTATTTTGTCAGGTCCTTGTCCTCGTTGACCTCTCTCAGACCCCCTCTTGCGCGCGTTCGAAAACTCCCCCGAAGTCGAACCTGGTTGTCGTGACCGTTGGGTTCGGATCATCCCCCAACATCTATAAAACATCTCCGTTTTCTTATTTGGACCCCCCTAGCCTATTTTTCTCGACCGCCCGATTTCGCTCGGACGTACCGGGTTAACCCTGCCCTAATCCTCCTTGCTATATAAATATGACCCAACCCTAAATTTGAGGAGAGTTGTCCCATCGGTCCCTCACCCACCGCCGCCGCTCTCCCGCATCCACCTTGGGATCCCTCCCGATCCAGTTTCCACCCGAGACCAATCGTAGCCTCCATCTTCTCCTCGTTCTCCCCACCAGCCCAACCGGAGCGCTCGAACAAGTGTCCTCCTTCCTCGGGATCGACCCAGATCCCACCTGGCCAAATCCCCTCTCGCTCCCTCGTCCTCGCCTGCGTCCGAGCAAGAGGAGCTCGCTGCTCAAGCTCGAGCACGCACCCAGGACCCATGGCGCCACTCCCGTGCGCGCCTCCTCCTCCCGCTGCTCCCTGCGTCCCTTTTCGCGCTGTGCAACGCCCGAGGAGAGCCGAGCTCCTCCCGATCCAGAGCTTCGCCGTCTTCCTCGCGACCCTCGCCGCCTCGTCTCACCGCCGACGATCACCAGCACCTCCAGGTCACGCCGCCGGGCCTCCCTCGCGCCCTCTCTTCCTTTCCCTCTCCCTGTCTCACCTCTCTCTGTCTCTCTTCGTCAGGGACAGGAACGAGGCAAGCCCGCGCGTCCTCCGCCGTGGATCCAGGGCCTTGATTCGTTCCCGGCCTCGCCTCTTCTCGTCGGAGTCCCAACCTCGCCGGATCCAGCCGTCTCCGTCGTCCGCTAGCCTCCTATCTGTCTCGAGCGCCAAGTCCCGCTCCCTGCTTCCTCTGAAGTCGCTGCACCAAGCCCCGCCTCCTGCGTCCCTGCCTCGAGCACCAGTGCTCCAAGCCCGGCCCTTCTGTAGCTCGCCGGTGAGCACATCTAGCCACCCGCGCCCGTGGTTCCCTCCTTTTTCTTCCCGTTTCTTCTCCCTGAATCTCTTCTCTGAATTCACTCGTCTCTTTGAATTTCTTCACAGGAGTTGAGCCGCTGTCGTCCTGTTCGACTCCCTCCATCAGGAACCATCTCCCCTCGTCAGATCCGGTAGATCCTCGCCGCCGTCCGCCACCTGTAGGCCCCATCTCGCCGCACCTCCCTCCGTTCCTTGAACCCACGATGCTAAAGTCCATCGCGCCCAGCCGCCGGCGCTTGAACCTGCTTCTTCCTCTGTTCTTCAGTAACGAGAGCAGCAACAGTTCGCTTGTCCCGCGTGTTGACCGCGCCATGCCAGCGCCTGGGCCGCGTCCCGTGAGCCGACCCAGCAGCTGCATCCTGTCGGCCTGCTGCTACCTCTCCACAGTTCTGGGCTGAGGCCCATGGTGAGCAGCAGCCCCCAGCCCCTTCTCTGTGTTCAGCCCAGCAGTGCTCCAGATTCGGCCCGTGGATGTTTTTTTCCCGTTCTGCGATTTAGCGATTTATCCAGAGAGTGCAGTTTTACACATTACCTCTCATGTTCATGCATTTAATATCTCACAAACCGTGCATCGGATTAAAATATTTTAAATAGGGAAAATGCTTAGAATTTCCTCTAGTTTCACATAATGCCATTTTCATCCATGTTTAAAATGTTTAAAATGCTGTTTGTTTAAATTTGTTCAAATGCCATGTTAAAATGATTTATTTCATAACTAATTAACCGTAGCTCCGAATTTAATAAACTTTATATGTATTTGGGGTGGAAAAATGCATAGAATAACATGGTCAACTTTATTTTCCTGTTTAACAACTTTAAAATATGTTTTAGGGCAGAACAGTAGCAAATTCATAAATTGCATATGAGGATTTTCCGGAAATGTTGTTTGTTGTTTCGGCCTCATTCAAACTTGCCTAAATAGTTAGTTTACTTTTGTTACACCCCTTGCCATGTTTAACAACATTTAACATTGTTGTGTACCTAAACGAGAGCGAACTAAATAACTCAGATGTGGTGTTTCGCCAATATGCAACTCGTTGCATATTGAGCTCCACTTAATTTGTAGGGTTGTTTGTTGCACTTTGTCATGCCATGCCTCATTAAACTGGACATGCATCATACTTGTTTGTGCATCATGCCATGTTTATGCTTGTGCATTTACCATGTTGTTTGTTTCTTTCCGGTGTTGCTTCTTAGTTCCGGTAATGTTGCGATTGTGAGGATTCGTTCGACTGCTCCCGTTCGTCTTCTTCATGGACTCGTTCTTCTTCCTAGCGGGATCTCAGGCAAGATGACCGCTACCCTGGATCTCACTACTATCATTGCTATGCTAGTTGCTTCATTCTATCGCTATGCTGCGCCACCTATCACTTGCTCTTCAATCCTCCCAAATTGCCATGAACCTCTAACCTTTGACACCCTTCCTAGCAAACCGTTGTTTGGCTATGTTACCGCTTTGCTCAGCCCCTCTTATAGCGTTGCTAGTTGCAGGTGAAGTTGAAGATTGCTCCATGGTAGACAGGGTTATGTTGGGATATCACAATATCTCTTATTTAATTAATGCATCTATATATATTGGTAAAGGGTGGAAGGCTCAGCCTTATGCCTGGTGTTTTGTTCCACTCTTGCCGCCCTAGTTTCCGTCACACCGGTGTTATGTTCCCGGATTTTGCGTTCCTTACGCGGTCGGGTGATTTATGGGACCCCCTTGATAGTTCGCTTTGAATAAAACTCCTCCAGCAAGGCCCAACCTTGGTTTTACCATTTGCCTCACCACCACCTATACCTTTCCCTTGGGTCGGCCAATCCGAGGGTCATCTTTATTTTAGCCCCCCCGGGCCAGTGCTTCTCTAAGTGCTGGTCTGAACCGGGCAGACTGCGGGGCCCCTTCAGGGCAACTCGAGGTTTGGTTTTACTCGTAGGCTGACCTATCCAGTGTTGCCCTGAGAACGAGATATGTGCAGCTCCTATCGGGATTGTCGGTGCATCGGGCGGCTTTGCTGGTCTTGTTTTACCATTATCGAAATGTCTTGTAAACCGGGATTCCGAGACTGATCGGGTCTTCCTGGGAGAAGGTATATCCTTCGTTGATCGCGAGAGCTTATCATGGGCTAAGTTGGGACACCCCTGCAGGGTATAAACTTTCGAGAGCCGTGCCTGTGGTTATGTGGCAGATGGGAATTTGTTAATGTCCGGTTGTAGATAACTTGACACCTGATCCGAATTAAAA